TCCAACACAGGCTGAAAAGAGGAGCTTCAGCAATGTGCAGTATGACAAACAATATGGTGTTTTTTGAAAATTAAACCACGTAAACCTGTTCTGGTACAACCCCTAAATAAAATTTTGAACCAGAAAGTGAGCATAATACCACCTCTTTAATGCTCCAAAACCCAACTTTCTCTTATACAATACATTTCATACAAAAACTGGTTGTTTTCCTGCAATGAGGGTTCTGGGACGTTCCAACTAAAACTGGATCAAACTGATTTTTCATGGCACCAAACGCTCATTAATTCACTTATTTTTGCACTATTTAAACTTTTGCTGATGTTTTCTAGACTTTTTACAGTCATGATGATGCTAACACTGCCTCCACTCCTACATGCACCTGGGTTCTATAAAAGGCACTCAGGAATGTGGGCTCAATTATATAGAGAGTGAGTGGATAATAAATGTATGAGGCATTATACAGCGGCAGTGGCCAAACCTTAAACCTTTAAAACACATTAAAACATAATGTACAGTTTTTTTTAAAGCATACATAGAGGGACTGGCCCAAGAGGTTTATGGTTTAAACAAGAGCTTTGTTATGAACAGCTACACAGTTTTTGTCATGACAATGGGAATGGGAACAAATAGTAAGTTACAAGTTCATAAAATATCTATATTTCTTAAATATTCAGATCAATTTATCTTCAGTTTTGACCTGAAACATTAACATGTCAGTGTCAGAGACGGGCTGAAGCACTGAAGCAAATTAAAGTGGTGACATGTTTGGAGTACTCGGTTAATATCAAAATCAAAGAAACTAAAAGGAAATAAATTAGAACAATGTCAGGTTGAATGCTGTAAGAGAACATTTAAAATAATTCAATTTGGGCCTGATAAAAACTATTGGGTCAGAATCAGGTAAAAGCCAGAAAAAAAAGGTAGATCTTTAAATTAGATTTGAAGATCTCAGTGGTGGTGCGTGACTTAATGTTGGACGGAAGACGATTCCTTAGCCTGGAGGCAGCAACAGAAAAAGCCTGGTCACCTTTAGTTGTAAGTGAGTTGTTTTGAGGATGACCTAAGTGACCTAGGCGCAGAATATGTAATTAGCATATCATTAATAAATACAAGAACTGCTTACTGCTTGTCTGTGTCTTGCGTTTGGTTCCTAACCTGCCTCTGCACGCGGCCAGTCCTGACAATGTATTGTGGAGCTAAACTATGGAGGGCTTTAAATAAATAACAACATTTTGTGTGCATCTGGTATGTAAAACTGTGTGTCATCCGCATAACAGTGATACAAAACATTGTTTTTCTGAAAGATAGTGCCAAGGGGAAGCATGTATAGCCAGAATAAGAGAGGGCCTAAAACTGAGCCTTGAGGGATGCCACATTTAATAGCAGTAAAAATGATTTCTCTCAGGTAGGAGTTAAACCATTTTAACACAGCGCCCTATAGACCAACTTTGTCCGCCAGGCGTTTGAATAGAATTCCATGTTCGACTATGTCCTAAGCTAAGATCAAGCAGGACTAAAATGGCACTAGAATCAGAGTTGACAGAGAGAAGGATGTCATTATGTACCTTAACAGGGCAGATTCAGTACTATGAAGTTCTCTAAAACCAGACTGGAATTTGTCAAAGATGTTTGATGTGTTCAAGTACGAGGAGGACCTCTTTTTCTAAAATGCTGGAAATGAATGGTAGCTTGGAGATGAGCCTGTAGTTTTTGTCATTGGAGTCAAGGCTAGGTTTCCTTAAAAGGGGTTGCAGAATTGCATGTTTGAAACTGGAGGGAACGACACCCTTGGTTAAGAAACTGCTAATTATCACCTCAATAAGACGGCAAATAAGGGACACGTCTACATAGACTGCAGAGATATGTTGCCCTCACTGTCACAGTGTTAAACTGGTTCAGTCCTTATCTGTCAGGCAGACATGATGTTGTCTCACTTGGTCACATTCATCATCTACTGTCAGTTAAATTCTAGGTGTCCCGCAAGACTCAATCTCTGCTGACTTTACATGCTGCATTTGCTTAATAGCAAGGGACATGGAATTCATTTGTATATGTATGTAGATAATAAACACCTGTGCATTTTTTATCACAAAATTACCTGTGCCTGGTCAATAAACATGTAAATTTCTATGTTAATACATATTTGGCACAAATTCCAGCAGCTGAACAGAGATGAGACTGAGAAAGTTGAGATTCCTCTATATTCATAAACCAGCATGAAGGAAAATGGAACGTTTTATCAGGTGTGAGTAACAGTGAGTGAGTAGAGGGAAGTGTAAAGTACTTTCCATCTAGAGAAACATACATGTATGAGCTGTAAAATGATTGACTATGAAAGATGGTTTTGAAGTAAAATATTATCTGATTAACTAATTTTATGATGATATTGATACTGAACATTAGAAGTGACTAAATCAATTTTATTTTTCTTTCTTAATTTAAGAGTGAAATCCTAAAACCTAATTTAAAGTACAAGTTGTAGACACTTAGATTGTTTCTTCATCAAGGCAATAATTTACTAGGTATAGTGTATTCAACATTTTTAAAGTTTCTTATGAGTTGCTCCAGCCAAATAAATTAACATATCCTCGTGGCCTATTTTCCTGGCCATTAAATATTGTCATAGCAACCATACCAAGTGCACTGAACAATGACAAGAGAGCTACCATTAATGGGCATGGGTATTTGGCTTTAGGGATATTTGGTCAGGTGCTGTTTCAGATTAAACAGGAAAGGCGTCCAGATGAAGACAGTGAGAAGCTAGGCTAGTCTCCTCACAACCAGCTTAAACACTTCCCAGTTATACCTAAAGGTTAATACCCCTAGGCCTGAGGATCTGACCCTTTTACCAGTGATCTGGAGCAGTACCTCCTGGACAGGGGTAACTTGGGATCTAACAGACTAAAGGCCTGATTGTTGGAGCACCTTATATTCTCAGACACTAAATATAAAGACCAATGCTGACGATCTTGATATGATGTGAGGTCTTCACCGATCCTGAAGAACTGAGACCTGACCCGGAGCCCAAGTCATACTGGGTCCTCTTCCATACTAATTTGGTCTTATCAGGTCAGGTAGTGTCATGTTTTACTGCCAAATGGTTCAGGTCTGTGTGTCTAATACCCGAGTGGATCTGCATGAATCGAGACGGTGTAATAAGAGCAGCGTAGCTCCTTTAAGGAAGAGCTCAGTGTGAAGAGAATGAATCTGATTCACATTGAATTGCTTCAAATATCATTTTCTTCTGTCAATCTGTTTGTCCAGGAGGTGAAAACAGGGTTTTGAATATTTATTTTTTGTCATTAGTTTCTTTGTTGGTAATTAGTATTTTTAGGCTAAATTATTTTTAGCCTAATAATGTGTCGAAACCAAAATGTAATTCTGCCTTTAGACAGTCACAGGTTGTTCAGTGACATGTACTGTATGAACTGTGGCCCAGAATCCATTATGTTTCTGAGCGTCAGTGTTTCTGCCACAGAAAACATTTGTTGCATTGCAGATATGGAGCTTCAGTGTCCTGAGATTTCAGTGTGATGTGTGGACGTTGATGTTTGATATATTGTGAATTTGGTTTGTGTCTCTACATCAGTGGAGCTGACTCTGCTGCTGTTGTGGTTTTAATGGTCTGACTGGGCTTCTTCAATGGAACTGTTCTCTTCATCTGAGGAAACTTTCAGCTTGTTGAGGAGGACTGTTTTTGAACTTCAGGAGGAAAACTGGTGGAGACGCAATGAGCATCACAAATCATCTGTGTGTGTGTGTGTGTGTGTGTGTCCTCAGTGAACTGTATCAGTCTCTGCAGTAGCTTCCAGCTGCAGCAGTCACTTCAGTTTCTGTTCAGTCTGACTGAGGGAGGTTTTAGTACAACGCTTTTTTACTGTGTGAACACAGCTTGACTGTTGATAACATGATAACTCTGACAGTAGTAAACTGCTGCATCTTCAGCCTGAACTCCACTGATGGTCAGAGTGAAGTCAACTCCATTCCCTGCTCCACTTCCACTGAATCTGGAGGAGATTCCAGAATATCTGTCTGATGTTCTGTAGATCAGAAGTTTAGGAGCTTCTCCAGTTTTCTGATGGTACCAGGACAGGTAGTATTGTGAACCAGAGTAGTGAGCAACCTTTGGACTGGCCTTACAGTCAATAGAGACAGTCTGACCCAGCTGCACTGATTTGGCTGCTGGCTGAGTCACGACAAGATTTTGTCCAACAGACCCTGAGGAGAGAGAAGAAACACTGGACATGAGATGGTGAGGTGAAACTCAGCTACACTCCAAATGATTTTCACATCACAGAAAAATGATTTTCCTCACCCTGAGTGAAGCAGAGGAGAGTCCAGATGAGGACGGAGACCAAAGTCATGTTTTTGATGAGGAGGATTTCTGTGGCTTCTGTTGTCATGAAGGACAGCTGTCAGTCATCCAGTGTTCAACTCTCAGGACTATAAAGTCTCCCAGAGCAATGGGAAGGTGGGCTCTGTGACCTGTGAGGCCACCCAGGGCTCCCAGACTCCGCTCTCAGAGACACTGAGGAGAGACCAGTGTTCCCAGTCCTGACCTGACTCACTGGGACTCTGCTACTGGTTTTCCTCTGCTCCTGCTCTCACTCTGCACTCTGGAACTGTCTCTCTCTTTTATTTGACATCTTTCAACAGCAAGATTTACTAGCTTGTTGCACTGTTTCAATATTATTTCAGTGTTTCCAGATAATAAAGACCTTTTCATCCAATCAGCTGTTTTCAGGTTTATTATTATCAAAGTGTCTTAATAAATGTTCTCTTGATTGTGTCATTTTAACAACATCCAGAAAGAAACTAGGCTGACACAAATGTTTCATCTTGATAATTTTACAAAGAATATGTAATATTGTTTATAACCATTTATACTGTACAGTAAACATATGTACAATATCAAATTTCCATCACGACATTAAGAGAGTTTATAAAGTCAAACAAAACTTAACATTTTTGTTTGATTAAAACAAACCAGTGATGGCAGCAGTGAGATAAGATATAACTTTATTAATCTGCTTTAGGGGAAATTTCGTTCAATATAGCAGCACAAAGGAATATAAAAAAACAGATGCAGTATTGTAGAAGTATTAACATACTATTTACACTATACAATCAATAATAATTATTTACAACCATTTACAACCAGATAAACGTCTCAGATTTAATCAGGAAAAAGTCTGTCAGTTTGGTGCTGTGGGTGTGTGGAGCGTAATGGCTGACGGCACAAATGAACAAAACCCATGGCAGGAAGACTTGAAACTGTCTTAATGGTAATCACTTTATTATTTTAATTGCATTACATTAATTATTATTTCAAAAGAATAGAGAAATAAAACGAGTGTTATCTGTTATTTCAACCAGGAACTATTAACATACTGCTACTGCTGAAGAAACAGAAAGACAAATTAAAATAAAAAAATAGAATAATAAGATAGCTAGAATATAAATCACAGATTTAGTTATAAATATATGCTGTTATAGACATGATTAGTAATTTTATCACATGAACAAAATTAGATTTGGGATAATATTTTTAAGGTAGTTTGAGTTTCTATGAAACATGTACGATATAAATTAATAAGTAATATTTACAATTTGTCTGTCCTTGTGTTATCACTCTGCATGAATTTTACTTATCAAAGAAATTAAATCATAATTCAACAGAGGTTAGCTCGATGTTCAGAAGTATGGTTCAAATCCTGTTTTAATTAAAACATTATTAAGTTAAAGTAAATACACTATATTTAGTGTTGAAATGTTTAAAGTGTTATTATTATTGTTTAAATGTTTTTTATAAACCTCTGTTGTTTTAGTTTCAGTGCAGCTGTTGAGTCAGATCATTTCCTCTCCAACTGAGGGAGGTTTTTGTACGACGTTGTATCACTGTGTGAACACATACTGACTGTTGATTAAGTGTTCTCCAAAACAGTAGTAAACTGCTGCATCTTCAGCCTGAACTCCACTGATGGTCAGAGTGAAGTCAGTCTTTGATCCACTGCCTGTAAAACGATCTGGAATCCCTGATTCTCGCAGATCAGCCAAGTAAATCAAAAGTTTGGGTGTTTCTCCATTTCTTTGTTGGTACCAGGAGAGAACATCTTTAGTTTTGTTTCTTGCGACAGTTACCCTCTGACTGTGTTTGCAGCTGATGGAGACGGAGGCTCCCAGAGCAGAGCTCACTGCTCCAGGCTGAGTCACTGTGATCTGGCCTCTGGACTCTGAGGATACAGAGACAAACACATAAAGCAGCGTCATGGTTTTGTGGGCTTCATTTCAGAGGGACGGATGTTCATAGAGGAGAGGAGTTTGATTCTCTGGACTTTACCTGTCAAGCAGCAGCAGAGGAGAGTCCAGATGAGGACGGAGACCAAAGTCATGTTTTTGATGAGGAGGATTTCTGTGGCTTCTGTTGTCATGAAGGACAGCTGTCAGTCATCCAGTGTTCAACTCTCAGGACTATAAAGTCTCCCAGAGCACTGGAGCATGGTGCTGCTGATGCAAAGTGGCTCTCTATGGAAATGCTCTGACTGACTCCAACAGGGACTTGGATTACTCTGATGATGCTGCTTCTCAATGGATCAATACGTTTACCAGAGGATTGATTAGGAATGTGTCAGTGATCATTTTTATAAACGTAAAAATACGTACTTTGCCCTTTTCAGAGTTTTGACAGTAAATGTTTTTTGTATTTCCAAATTTAAAACCTGGTTGTTTTATTTCCAGTGCAGTTTGATATCTTTCAGCTCATATGAGGACTCTTTCTGTGCTGATATGCATGAGAGGTTTCTTAAAGGAAGTGAAACAATGTGTGAGTGAGTGACTGGTGGAGCAGAAACCAGCTGTGTGGTCCCCGTCCTCTAAGCTGATTGGTTCTTCTCCTAGGTGATGCCCGTCCCACCCTGACGGTGCTGCCCCCCTCCAGCGAGGAGCTGCAGCAGGGGAAGGCCACGCTCATGTGCCTGGCCAACAAGGGCTTCCCCTCAGACTGGAGTCTGGCCTGGAAGGTGGACGGCAGCAGCAGCAGCAGCAGCAGCAGCAGCTGGGAGGAGAGCAGGAGCCCCGGGGTGCTGCAGAAGGACGGCCACTACAGCTGGAGCAGGAGTGGGCCAAAATCCCTCCTGCAGTGTGTGCAAACCTGGTGAAAAACTACAGGAAACGTTTGACCTCTGTAATTGCAAACAAAGGCTACTGTACCAAACATTGATTTTCTCAGGTGTTCAAATACTTATTTGCAGCTGTATCATACAAATAAATAGTTAAAAAATCATACATTGTGATTTCTGGATTACTTTTTTTAGATTATGTCTCTCACAGTGGACATGCACCTACGATGACAATTTCAGACCCCTCCATGATTTCTGAGTGGGAGAACTTGCAAAATAGCAGGGTGTTCAAATACTTATTTTCCTCACTGTATGTCAGAGGTCGCACACCTCTGGAGCGAAGTGTCTTGCTCAGGGACACATTGGTGTCTCACAGTGGATTCTAACCTGGGTCTCTCACACCCAAGGGATATTACATCCAGAGAAACACTGAGAGAAATCTTTCTCTGGGATGATTTTACAAAGAATGTGTGACATTATGTAATGTAAATTCATTAGGGCTGGACCCGAATATGTGAATATTCGAATATTCGACTGTTGGGAACATATTTGATTTTCAATGTCGAGATTTGATTATTGAGGGTTTTTTTCACGCTCCTGAACTCCGCCGACAGCAGTGAACATAATCCAACACTCCAGTTCACATCAAAGGGAAAACAAAACGAAGCCCTGAGTTGTGTGACATCCCTTTACCCTGCAATAAATATTCCTCTTTTATTTAAATCCTCTCTCTCTCTTAGTCCTGCACTTGGTTCTGCTAGCCTTGCCATAACAAAGTTAAAATCAAATAATTGGTTTTAATCACTTTCTCTCTCTCTTTTTCTCTCTCTCTCTCACGCGCACACACAGACAGAAGCACCCATGCCGGCTGTTATCTCTCCCCTATCTGATCCTCCCTCACTCAGCAGAACTTCTTGGGCATTTATCCTTCTTCTGCTGTTCTGCTTCTATCTTTGAAATACATAGCTGTAGCTCATGAAATGACAGCCTGCTTATCAACACACATTTAAACCAGGGGCGGCTTGTTCATTAGGGTGATGCACCGCCAAGCCGGGGAAAAGGCAGGAGATTTTTCTCACACTTTCTACCACACTGTTAGTTAGCTGTGACTGTTTTTGAGAGACAGTTTGTCTCTGAATATCGCTGTCTGGTTCAGTCTGGTTGTAAATTGCCCAGATCTCTCTCATAGACTTTCATGTAAAGGCAGTTTTTTTCGAGCTGCGGCTGCTGCAATGCATTCTCTATGGGTTCCGGGAGGGCTAGCGCTTACGTGTTTACGTCATGCGCCCAGCAGCCGAGCTAAGCTTCTGCCACCTGAAAACGACTCGGCGGTCCTCCAGCTTGTTGCTCTCACTACGAGCAGTTGCTGTAGAAAATGTACGTTCAGGCTGAAAATTCGACCGTGGTGTCGGGAGATGCAGCAACTTTACCAGCGGTGAGTAAGACACTATAAATAATACATGTCATTTGTTAAGCTATGAGGAGAGGAAACGTCCGCTAGCCGCTAGGCTAATTTATGCTCTGTAAAATGCCATAGGCTAAGCTAATAATCTTGATAGTTATTATTAAGCCAAATTTTATGCTTGTGTTAAATGTGATTGTTATTAAGCCATGTTTTATGTGTGGTGGTGGAGTCAATTTAAAGTTAGCTGCACTTAACCAGTAACAATTATTTGATGTGTTGTTTTTTCTTCTATTGCCAGAAACCGAAGAAGAAAGAGGAGGTAGCATGATGTGGCCACCACTGGCATCTTGTCAGAGGAGGGTAAAAAGAAGAAGAAGAAGAAGAACAAGGAAAGCAAAACAGAAAGCAAACCAAAAATAATAGAATATACCTTTTATATTTCCCCTTACACGCCTTGATGTTTATGTGTAAATACAGAGTGAGAATGGGAGAACAACACATAGCTCGTTGTTACTGTGTGATTATACAGGAGAACAGTGGATACTTTAATACAGCCCACACCCCTAAATAATACTGTGTATCTACAGGATAACAAGTGTTTTTTTACTCCTCTCTACTTACCATATTAGTCTTGTGTAATGTGTTCAACTTAAAGAATGAAAATAAATACTGTGCTCCTCTGTAGCCCATTAAACATTTTAGATTAGCTATGTTTGATCCACCTTTATATACAGCACGTGACATTATTACATAACTGTAGCCTATTACTTGAGATGGGTCCCTTAGCTGCAACGCAAGATTAACTGTAAATAATTTTATTCATTGCACATCATCAACCCAGTGCCACTGCGCTTTATTCTGGATTTATTGTTCCTAAATAAAAGGTTTGTCACAGCTAAATCAAATGATTGTGAGAGTCATGCTTTTTTTCATTATTGCTAAAGTAGTTGCCTTTACATCCAAAGGCCTAACGATCTGTTGATCTTAACTGTGGACTGTTCATTCATTGTAGACATTGACAATGAGCTTCAGGATGTAGCTGTTCACAAATACTGTACAGTATGTAGCCTATGGAACAATCCTTGTCTTATAGCAGACTAAGACCAATGAACTGGTCACCTTAGCCATCATCGCAACAATTGCCCCCCCTGAGAGATTTGACAGGAGCCGCCACTGGTTTAAACAATTGCCACAACGGGATTGCTGAGCGCCATGGCAGCCCAATTTGGACATTTTCACTTAGGGGTGTAGGCCTACTCAACTCAGTTGCCAGCGGTTTAGACATTAATGGCTGTGTGATGTGTTATTTTGAGGGGACAGCAAATTTACACTGTTATACAAGCTGTACACTCTAAATGTGAGGGGTGTACTCACTTTTGTGAGATACTGTACATTCTGCTTCTGCTGAAGAAACACAAAGACAAGTAAAAGTTGACCAAAGGAAATAATTCAAATATTACTGATTTACTATTTCAATATTAAAATGAATTTGTTTGCTGGAATAAAACACACAATTTAAGTAATTTAACTGCAATTAATGAAATTACTTTTTGCATCAAAGTATATTTGAGATTCAATGAAAAAATGTTAAGATATGTAATAATAAATAATATTTACAATCTGTGTGTTGTGTTTTTATACTCCATGAATATCAATTATAAAAAAAAAAATTTAAATCATAATTCAACAGAGGTTAGCTTTAATGTTCAGAAGAATGGTCCAAACTCTGTTTTAATAAACACATTACCGTACAGTACAACTTCTAGAATATTATATATTAAAGAATATTTAGTGTTGCAATGTTCAATGTGAATAATTATTGTCTAAATGTGCATTTTTATAAACCTCTGTTGTTTTATGTCTATGAAGATTCTCAGTCATCCAAGTCATAGTTATCCAACGAAGGTTAAAATCAAGGGCAACTGGACTTGGTTGAATATACTGGAAGACGTTTCGTCCCTCATCCAAAGGACGAGGAGAACTGAAGAAGTCCTTTGGATGAGGGACGAAACGTCTTCCAGTATCTTCAACCAAGTTCAGTTGCCGTTGATTTTAACCTTCGTTGGATAACTCTGTTGTTTTAGTTTCAGTGCAGCTGTTGAGTCAGATCAGTTCCTCTCCAGCTGAGGGAGGTTTTTGTACGACGTTGTATCACTGTGTGAACGAGCTGTAACCCTGCTGACAGTAGTAAACTCCTGAATCTTCAGCCTGAACTCCACTGATGGTCAGAGTGAAGTCAGTCCCAGATCCACTTCCACTAAAACGATCTGGAACTCCAGACTGACGAGTTGTAGCTAGATAAATCAGGAGTTTAGGAGCTTCTCCAGGTTTCTGAAGGTACCAGCTGAGGTAGCTGTAACCAGAACTAGTAACACTTGCACTGGTTTTACATTTGAGAGAGACAGCCTGTCCTGGAACAACAGACTGAGATCCAGGAGACTGAGTCAGGATGATTTGTCCTGATGAACCTGGAAAAGATGAAAAAGAGGAGAAGGGTTATTGAGACAAATCCAGCTTGGAGAAAGATGATCAGCATCCAAACAGAAGAGTCTCATTTCTTTAAGATGGAGAACAGATGGAAGAAGGTAAATGCTGCTTGTTTCAGTGTTTCTCCATCACAGCAGAACATCATTGTGGTGAAGCTGGTTGCATCCTGAAGCAAAGTTTTCAGAAGAGAGTCTCACCCTGAACAAGGAGCCCCAGGGTGGCCAGCAGTAGAATCAGTGACATCATCATTGTGCTGCCGGCGTGTCAGTGGCTCTGAAAGGCCTGGACAGCCACTGATCAACACTGGCCTCTTAACGGCTGGGAGCAGAGAGGCAGGACAGATATGCAAACACACAGAGTCAGTGAACTGTAGCTGTCCTCAACATATCATGCTGTTTCCTCCTCACTGCTGGGACAGCTGGCTGTTTAAAACATCCTCATGCAGATTAACACAAACACAGTATGCTGAACAGTAACTGACAAGTGATCTTTTTAGAATCCAAACTTTCATTTCTCTCCATCTGTCTCAGAGGATCGTCTTGAGCTTTGTTTTCCAGGTGTCAGCTTAGTTGTACTGAATTTAGTGGTTTTGGGAGACTTCCTCTCATACAGTAAATTCTACCTATTATTTTAACTCAAATAATATATATATATTAAGGAGTGAGTTATTTTTTAAAACGATTGTCTCAATTCAATTCAATTTTATTTATATAGCGCCAAATCACAACAACATTTATCTCAGAGCGTTTTTTATAAAAGAGCAGGTCTAGACCGTACTCTATGATGCTATTTACAGAAGCCCAACAGTTCCCACCAAGAGCAGCACTAGGAGACAGAGGCAAGGAAAAACTTCCTTTTAAGAGGCAGAAACCATCGAGCAGAACCATGGCTCAGGGTGGGCGGCCATCTGCCTCCACAGACAGTAAAGGTGATGTTGCCATAGACTAAATGAAAAACGGCACAGATATTCATAGTAATGTTAATGATTATAATAACAATAATAACAATAGGACTAGAAACAATAGTCGTTGCAGCAGAGGGTGCCGAGCAGGAACACGGGGGCAGCAGGTGACCCGCAGCCACAGATCCAGACTCCACAGCTCCAGAGCCAGAAACACCTGCAGGAAGTGATAGGAGGAGAGAGGAGAGAGACGAGAAAGCAGAAGACTACCGGAAAGGGGAGAAGTTGTGTTAGTAACATGCAATAATGGGATGAGGTTGCATACAGAGGGAGAGAAAGTAGAGGAGAGAGGAGCTCAGTGCATCATGGGAAATCCCCCGGTAGTCTAGGCCTATAGCAGCATAACTAAGGGATGGTTCAGGACTACCTGAGCCAGCCCTAACTATAAGCTTTATCAAAGAGGAAAGTCTTAAGCCTACTCTTAAATGTGGAGATGGTGTCTGCCTCCTGAACCCAAACTGGAACCTGGTTCCACAGGAGAGGAGCTTGATAGCTGAACGCTCTGGCTCCTAGTCTACTTTTGGAGACTCTAGGAACCACAAGTAACCCTGCATTCTGGGAGCGCAGTGCTCTGGTGGGGTAGTAAGGTACTATGAGCTCTTTAAGATAAGATGGTGCCTGACCATTAAGAGCTTTGTAGGTAAGAAGAATGATTTTAAATTCTATTCTGGATTTTACTGGAAGCCAATGCAAAGAAGCTAAGACAGGAGAAATGTGATCTCTTTTCCTGGTTCCTGTCAGAACATGTGCTGCAGCATTCTGGATCAGCTGAAGAGTCTTAACGGACTTTTTCGAGCAGCCTGATAATAAAGAATTGCAGTAATCCAGCCTAGAAGTAACAAATGCATGGACTAGTTTTTCTGCATCATTTTTAGACAGGATGTTCCTGATTTTTGCAATATTACGTAGGTGAAAAAAGGCGGTCCTTGAAATTTGCTTAATGTGAGACTTCAACGACATGTCCTGATCAAAGATAACTCCAAGATTCCTCACAGTGGTGCTGGAGGCCAGGGCGATGCCATCAAGGGAAACTATATCTTTAGATAATGCGTGACGGAGGTGCTTAGGCCCCAGAACAATAACTTCAGTTTTATCTTAGTTTAACATTAGAAAATTACAGGTCATCCAGGTTTTAACATCCTGAAGGCACATTTGAAGTTTAGCTAACTGATTACTTTCATCCGGCTTGATCAATAGATATAACTGAGTATCATCTGCATAACAATGAAAGTTTATGGAATATTTCCTGATAATATTGCCTAAAGGAATCATATATAAAGTGAAGAGGATTGGTCCGAGGACAGATCCTTGAGGAACTCCATGACTAACTTTGGCGTGCATGGAGGACTCATCGTTAACATGTACAAACTGAAATCAATCTGATAAATAGGACTTAAACCAGCTTAGAGCGGTTCCTTTAATGCCAATTAAATGTTTGCCCACATCTCTGTAATAGGATCTGATGGTCAATGGTATCAAATGCAGCACTAAAATCTAGTGAAACCAGTACAGAGACAAGTCCTTTGTCTGATCCAATGAGGAGGTCATTAGTAATTTTCACCAGTGCTGTCTCTGTGCTATGATGAGCTCTAAATCCTGACTGAAAATCCTCAAATAAACTATTGCTGTGTAGAAAGTCACACAGCTGTTTAGCAACTCTAGGATCTTAGAGAGAAATGGAAGGTTAGATATAGGTCTATAGTTGGCTAAAACATCTGGATCAAGTTTGGGCTTGAAGAGGTTTAATTACAGCTACTTTAAAGTACTGTGGTACATAGCCTGTTGATAAAGATAGATTGATCATATCTAGTATAGAGGTGCTGACTAAGGGTAAAACATCTTTAAGCAGCCTAGTCGGGATGGGGTCTAAGAGGCAGGTTGATGGTTTAGATGAAGAAATTATTGAAGTTAGTTGGTAAAGATTGAGGGAAGCAAAACAGTCTAAACATATATCTGGTTCTACAGCTGTTTCTAAGGTTCCTGAGTTTAGAGATAAGTTGGTGCCAGTTGAGGGCAGGTCTTGGTGAATTTTGTCTCTAATAGCTAGAATTTTATCATTAAAGAAGCTAATGAAGTCGTAACTACTGAGAGCTATGGGAATACTTGGCTCAATAGAGCTGTGACTCTCTGTCAGCCTGGCTACAGTGCTGAAAAGAAACCTGGGGTTGTTCCTATTTTCCTCTATTAATGACGAGTAGTACGCTGCTCTGGCATTACGGAGGGCCTTCCTATAAGTTTTAAGACTATCTTGCCAAATTAAACGAGAATTTTCCACTTTGGTGGAACGCCAATTCCTCTCAAGTTTCCGCGATATTTGCTTTAATTTGCGAGTTTCAGTATTATACCATGGAGCTAACCGTCTTTGTTTTAGTATTTTCTTTTTTAGAGGGGCTACAGAGTCGAGTGTCATTCGCAGCGAGCCTGCAGCACTATCAACAAGATGATCGATTTGGGAGGGACTGAAATTAGCATAGGAGTCCTCCGTTACTTTGTGACTTGATAATGAATTTAGAGCTGATGGAATCGCATCCTTAAATTTAGCTACAGCACTATCAGACAGACATCTTGTATAGAAATTTTTGCCCAATGGCGAGTAGTTCAGCAATACAAACTCAAAAGTTATCAAACAGTGGTCGGATAAAGAGGGATTCTGTGGGAACACCACTAAATTTAACTAAACAATTTCAATACCATATAACAAAACAAGGTCGAGGGTGTGGTTAAAACAGTGAGTCGGTTCATGAACACTCTGAGAGAAGTCAATGGAATCTGAGAGATGAACGCAGTACTGAAGCTGTCATTCTCAACGTCCACATGAATATTTAAATCCCCTACAATAATAACTTTGTCCGTTTTAAGGACTAAAGTTGACAAAAACTCTGCATATTCAGATAAGAATTCAGAGTACGGACCAGGTGCTCGGTACACCATAACAAAAAGAATTGGTTGCGGTGATTTCCAACTTGACCTCTGACATATAGCAATTGTAAGTCACTTTGGATAAAAGTGTCAGCTAAATGAATAAAATGTAAATGTAAATGTAAATAGAAGGGCAGAAAAGTGTGTTAGACTGTGACTCTGCCTCCTGGTCTCAACTCTGGGTTGTCATGCATTTGATCCACCACTGAACTTGGCCAGATTTCTAGAAATGAGAACTGCTCCTTCCCATCTCTTGGAATCAGAGCAGGTCTTCCCCAGAAAGTCTGCCAATGATCGAGTGATATTAGACCCCCCAACATACATTTAAATCGGTTTGCCCACATTTCTGCACGACATAACAAGATGTGATGACGGCAGAATCAATGTCTGTTCAGCCTGGATCTACATTAACGCCTCCAAACCTCCATCACTTAAAAAGCTTCAGGCTGGCTCTCTGGGGTCTGCTCTGGAGCCCCTGGAGTTGGTTGTGGAGAGAAGAATGTTACACAAACTGTTTAACATCATGGACAACACTTCACATCTGCTGCACAACCTGGTGGTCGGGCAGCAGAGTGCATTCAGCTGGAGACTCCTACAACTTGGCTGTAGCAAGGACCGTTACAGGAAATCATTTCTACCCAGCCATTACAATACACAACAACTCTCCTCTGTGCAGGGAGAGCAGGCTGAAGGACATGTGAGAGCTAAAGGACATTACAATACAGTTAATGCAAGTGATACTAATTGCACATCCTGTATATGCGCACATGTTGCACTTATATACAAATATACGTTGTAAACATTTTTTAAAGGAAATTTTGTACATTGTATGTTTGTGTAGATATGTCGGATCTGTAAAGTTTTATAATCTGGCTCAATTTTAGACTTTCTCTATGTACACAAAAGGCCTTTTTCTCTCAAATATTGTTCACAAATCTGTCAAAATCTTAGTGAGCACTTCTCCTTTGCCGAGATAATACATCCACCTCACAGGTGTGGCGTTTCAAGATACTGATCAGACAGCATGGGGATTACACAGGTGTGCCTTAGGCTGGCCACAATAAAAGGCCACTTGAAAATGTTATCTGGGTGTGGTGCTCGAGTTCCTTCACTGGTTGTCCAATTACCTACACACCTGTGATCACCTAGCACCTGAGACTCATTCCAGCAATCAAGCCCTGCTGCACTTAAGCTCGGATCCTTCGTCTTTGCCTGCTTGTCTCTTCTCTATTGTGGTATTCATGCTACGGTCTAATCTCTGAATCCTCTGTGTTTTGCTTTTTGATATCTGATTTTTGCCTGAAGAGCTAAACGTAATGAACACTTCATCACTGCTGAGTTTTTGTTTAAACCTCCACCTGCTGATGTTGAA